CAACAACAAAACACACAACCATCACAGTCGAGCAACCCCACCACATTCTTTTCCTCCGCCTCCATTTTTAACTCCTCAACCACACCACACACGCAAAACCAACAACTACTAGTAAAATCGAACCCCAAAATCATCCAAGCAAATTTTTTAATCTTCAAATCCTTTTGATTTCTCAGATTTGGATGGGGGGTGGCTACTGGAGGGTGCGATGGTGGGGGAAAGGCTAGCAATCTTCTGTGATTTTGGCCCCTAAATGAATCATTAACACCATTACCCATCACCCAATCGTCGCCTCCACACTATGGAAACCGCCACCACCTCCTCTCTCTCTATGCCTGTGTGTATATATATATGTATGTATATACATATATACACACACATGCACACACAGAGATGGGTTGAGGGAGAGAGAGAAGACTGATGATTGGGGTCGCTGGTGGGAGTGAGAGAGAGTCAGAGAGGGATTAGGGTTTGGGTTTGGTTCGCTCGTGGGAGAGACAGAGGGAATGGGATTTGGGTTTGAGTTTGTGTTAAATAGAGGGGCAAAGGTTTGAGTTTATGTTAAACAGAGGGGCAAAGTTATCTTTTTATTAGGGGAGTTAACTCCGTCTAACGATTGGGGTTTTAGTGTAATTTTTAAAATATAAACGAGTGTCCGTATAATAAAGTCAAATGTCAAGTAATATGAGTATAATTTACCTTTGTTTTTTTACAATCCTCGCTAATCTTTACATGTCGTGGCACGACATATGAAATTTTTATTACTCTAATCACAATATGAGTATAATATAAAAATTTTAATCTTAAAAGAGTTTAAATTGACAGTTTTACACGGAGACAAAGTATTCTTATTCTTCTTATATTTATTCCTTGCAAAAGTCTACATGGACAAGATTACAGTATCAAAATAAAATTAGTATAGTATTTCTAAATTTATTACTTTTTAAATTTTGTTGAGATTTATATAATTAAACGATAAATTTCAAACATAATTTACTAGAAAACACACGACACAAGGCATAGTTTTTACTGAGTAAGTAATAATGGGTATAATAAACATGGTCCAAGGGTAATTTTTATTTTTATTTTTGTTTTAAATTTGACCTGTATACGAGAAAAGCAAGCGGCACGGCGGAGGGCAATCGACGCCCAACTGAGGTTGATCAATCGGAAGAGAGAGAGAGACAGAGATGAGTGTGTTCGGAGGAGATAGTTGGGCTCGAGAGGCGCAGTACAAGAAGACAAGAGTCGATGAGCTTCTAGTCGACGGCTTCGATTCTTCCTCGTACAAGAAGCTCTCTAGCGGCAAATTCGCTTGCCTAGTCTGCCCTAACAATCCCGTCCTCGATACCCCTCTCATGCTCTCTGTACGTACAATTTCTCACTCTCCATCACCTGTCTCCTCGCTCTTTGATTTTATTTTTCGTAGAATATGTGAATCTTCACCAGCGTTTTGAATTCAATCATCAGTTGGGTGCTAACAGTTTTGGGTGCTACCAGTATAAAACGAACCTATATTTAATTTCTGGGAAAGTTCAGGAAATAAAGCTGAAATTTAATTTGTGATTTTTTAAGGGCTTATATAAGGGAAATTGTTTACCTATATTGATCGACTACTACTTGGGTCGATTCTGGCGGAATCCATGTATTGATGATGAGAACAATACCATAAATACCAGATTTATTGACTTTGAATATGCAAAAGTTGATATTGGGTGTAGGGGTTTGAATCCTAATCACCAGTGGGGAACTACTAATAAAAAAACGAAAAAATAAAGCTGATCTGGTGAGTTGTGCTATACAATTCTCTGTTAAATTGCTGGAAAAAGTGAGGGAATATGCATGACATTTGATTTATGAAGGGCATGAACAAGGAAAATTCTTTACCCGTATTTGTGCGTGCAAGATCTTGCACAATATAAACACGAGAACAGATCTCTCCCGTGGTGAACTTGAGTCAGTCAATCAAATGGTCAACCTTGCTATTTGGAACAGCCTGGAACGATAATGAGTGACTTTCGTGGATCAAAGGATCAACCCAGTAAGGTTGAGGGAGGTTTCTGGAACAAAGAAAGACAAGTTAGAGGGGGCGCCCGAGCGTTTTTCGGCGTATCCCCTCCGACGATCAAGTCAATTTTTGAGAGAGGGGAAGAAGAAAACACTGAGTATAGATTTGAGAAAAGATTTTTCGTTATATACCATCTTGCCTTTTGTGAAGAGTATTTATACCTCAAAAACTCATGACTGTTGTCAACGTGGTCAGTAGGTGATCATTAGATACGAGCAACGTGCGCACTGATTCCTATGAGGAATGTCTTCTCTCTTAACTGCTCGGGATCCCGATCAACAAATGCTGCGTCATCGGCCTGTCGAATGTTTAATGAGCTCCTCTCGGCAAGGATGTAATAAATGCCCAGTTTTAGGGACCTTTATTACCTTTCACTTCCGAGCCTTACTGCATTAAATGCTGTCTCATCAAGGGAATGGTCTAATTAAATATTTGCTTTCCCAAGTCGTGTGTCAGCAAGGGCATCTGGTCTTTTTGTCTCTGATGTGACACAATATGTCACGCGTCCATTCTCCATTGGCTGTGTCTTCTGTCTTCCTGTGCCTTCTGACATCAATTGTGTAAGACGAGGTCATGATGGCTAACCTAGCCTAGCCTAGGCTAGTGACGTGTACATCAATAGCCTCTACAGGAGTAGAGAATGCTATCCTGGACGGGTACATCTCGGTATCGAGGGGAGTGGTACATGTAGGGAGCGATGTGCCCCATATCNGTGTACATCAATAGCCTCTACAGGAGTAGAGAATGCTATCCTGGACGGGTACATCTCGGTATCGAGGGGAGTGGTACATGTAGGGAGCGATGTGCCCCATATCCGACTGAGGGATACGNGACGTAGAACAAGTTGCCTCATATTTTATGTAGCAGTTGGGTAGTCAGAAATCATAAAAAAGTAATAATAAGCTTGACCTTCAAGACTCATGGTTTTGCTACAAATTTTGCACATTTACGCAGAATTATATCTTTTTTAGCCTTCAAATTCGAAATATTAGGCAATATTCTTATTCCAAAGTTATAACTTTGCGATAGAGGTCGGCCAGAATCGATAACTAATGATTCCGCTTGACTCTAGGCCTTGTTATTGCCGTCTTTCACATTTAGTTTTGATATTTTCATTTGTCATAGTCTTCCTTTACTTCTCTTAGTTATCTATTCAAATATCACACACACTCATATATATGTATGCATGGCTCCACACAAAACAACTAGTTGATTTAGATATTACATTTGAATTAAGAGATAAAATTAAGTCTTGCTTCCTTTACTTCTCTTAATCCAACTATAGCCGCACAGTTGTATAATTTGTTACATCTCTCCTTCTATAAGTAAGAAGGTTTGTACATTGAATCAATTAAGAAAAGAAACACTATTTCTAAACCTCTATTTAAAATCCTATATAGTATCAGAGCTTCTGTAACATATGTCTTAAGATATATCTTCTTAGCTGAAAACTTGGTCTCCTCATATTCTGGGGAAGCAATTTCCTTTGTTTGGACGTAATATAGCAAGGGTGCTTGAACCAATTAACCCGAAATAGTGGAAGTCTGATGCATGTTATTAATGTCTTGATGCTGAAAAATGATTGTTAGTTGGGGATTTTCTAGATTAACACATATATATGTGACCAAAACTCTTTAATTTTAGTACTTTCTAAGATAAGATAATTAAAATTCTATAATTTTAGTTGTCAAATCTCAAAAATTTCCAAAAACTTTGAAACATATCCCTAAAAATATGGAGAGGATTTATTATGGATTTTAATTTTCCTNCAAAAATTTCCAAAAACTTTGAAACATATCCCTAAAAATATGGAGAGGATTTATTATGGATTTTAATTTTCCTAAATTTTAGGTTTTTGTTTTATTAGAACTCCTCTCTCTCTCTCTCTCTCTCTCTTTATATATATATTGAAGCGTGAGAGACAAACACATCAGATAATATGGAGATATTTAAATGTGGNTCTCTCTCTCTCTCTCTCTCTCTCTCTCTCTCTTTATATATATATTGAAGCGTGAGAGACAAACACATCAGATAATATGGAGATATTTAAATGTGGGCTTAGTTTTCAAAATCGTTTTTAGGAAACTTATTTACAATAAAAGGGTATTCAAGTCTTTCTATGTCTTAAGTGGACGTTTTTACAAAATATTTTTTCCTATGAATTTTTTGACAATCAAGTCCTATTTCGTGTATTGGCTTCTAAAGAANTTTTAGGAAACTTATTTACAATAAAAGGGTATTCAAGTCTTTCTATGTCTTAAGTGTGGACGTTTTTACAAAATATTTTTTCCTATGAATTTTTTGACAATCAAGTCCTATTTCGTGTATTGGCTTCTAAAGAACTCATTTTGCTTCCAATTTTGGGGCCCTAAGCAGTGGCCTAAAGGTTGGCCCGACATTGCTGCATGGACTTTACTTACAAATTACTACAAAAACATAGGAGCATAATTTGCATAAACCTTTGTTGTATAACAATTACGACACAATAGAGAACCTTCATGGGAAGTGATGGATCAATTTTGGAGCGGGCTCAAGAGAGGGCTGGTGGTTTCTGCACAGAGATTACATTTGGATCTTACACGGCTCATGGGGGTGAGGTGCTCCGCATTTTATTAGGATGTGGTGCTTGTGCAGATGAAGCAGCTTTGGTTGTGCAATTCATTGGCTCTTTGAGATCATGTCAAGAAAAGAGCTAATAAAATAGGCCACCGATGTGGTACTTGTCGAATCACGTCCAACGTTCAAGTCACTAAATGAAATAGGTCAACAAATAGTGAAAAAGTGTGTGCGGAGAAGATTAGTGACTTAACAACGAATGTTCTCTCTTTTTATGATACAAGTTGGTGCACACATGCGTTGCACATGAATAATTTTGAGTTATAATTATAATTTTATTTTTTTATATGCTTTACAATGTTTATTTGTCCAACAAAGTTTATAGACGNTCTCTTTTTATGATACAAGTTGGTGCACACATGCGTTGCACATGAATAATTTTGAGTTATAATTTTAATTTTGTTTTTTTATATGCTTTACAATGTTTATTTGTTCAACAAAGTTTATAGATGTAGTTTTTGTACTATTTATTATTTAGGAACATGAGACTTTGGAAGTGAATACAAAAGAACAATTGTATATTTGAGAAATAATTGATAAATTGAATATCATAACCTATTTAATTTGAAGTCTTCCTATATATATATATATATATATATATATATATATATATTCTAATTGTGAGAAAGTGTCTCTTCTGCTCCCACCAAAAACCGGTAAAAGCTATAAATTTAAAAAAAAAAAGCAAATGCAGGAATATAAAAATAAAGAGAAAAATCAAAAAGGAAAAGTATTGATGGAATATTGTTTAAAGAGTTACTATAATAAAAATGACCATAATGTCCACTTGACTTCAAACCAAATTATTGCAATAAAGAATAAAATAATTGAAGCATGGTCTAAGTTTGTCGAAATAGTGTATAGAAATAGAAAAACCAAAGTGAAACTAAGTTTCAAAACATATAAAAAAATCTGATTTTAAATTCCTCAAGAAAACTAACATGGAGGAGTGCAGAAAAAAATGACAATGGGTTATGTGATCGGCCTTAGTGGACCAACTAATTTTGACATGATGAACATTGAAAATTTGTGCTTTCCTTTGGACTTGAAAAATACTTCCAAATGATGAATAGGCAAAATTCCTATTGCCAAGAACTCTCATTTCATTGCACAAAGTTTATTTTTCTCATATTAATGTCTTTAAATACTTTGCACATATTACTCACAAACACGCCAATGCAATCATTTTACCATGAACAGTTAGCTCTTAGCTGAAATTAATTAAGCTCTTTCCTCAAGGACCGTTGAAGCCTTAGTTGATTTAAACATCACCAGAGACCCCATTTCGAAAGAATACCACATTCAAGTGTTTAGGGGAGATGGAAGGATGGTTTTGTAGTTTCCTAGTCAATGAACTTTAAATAACCTTGAGAATTTCTTAAGTAAAAAATAGATAGAATAAAATAGGGAGAATGACATGCTTGCGGNTTGATTTAAACATCACCAGAGACCCCATTTCGAAAGAATACCACATTCAAGTGTTTGGGGGAGATGGAAGGATGGTTTTGTAGTTTCCTAGTCAATGAACTTTAAATAACCTTGAGAATTTGTTAAGTAAAAAATAGATAGAATAAAATAGGGAGAATGATATGCTTGCAGATCTTGAAAAAAATAGCTTAAAGAAGGATATACTTGAAATTTGACCCACCAAGCCAAACTCTTACTGCATAGTTCGCCAATAAGTGCCTTAGAAAAAAAAAATCAAAATTCATTATTATAGGATAGAGTTGGCTTCTATAGAATCATGACTTAAACATTGGCTTAGGATTGACCAACTTTAATAGAATTATACCGAAAGGAATTAGATGGTACAAAGTTAACACAAAAATGGCATAACCATGGCATAGATCACATTATACATTAAAATGCATGTTAGGAACAAACTATAAAATAGAGATATACAAAACTTAATAAAGTTGTCAAAACTCGATAACAAAATTAAAAAATTTTCATCAGTAACAATCCAAAAATTAAAAAAAGTACCATATTACTTTCATGGGTTGCATTGACCCTCTCATGAATAAGGTCATCAAAGAGATACCCCAGCAACCTTATCTTCATTGTTCCAAGCCTGTAATGGCGCTATATTTGTACAAACTTCAAAAACTCATTTTAGTTAATTTAGCGTTATTAGTTCATACAACTAAAAGTACGAGATTAAAACAACAACTAAAAGTACGAGATTAAAACACGAAGAACGTACATCAAACATGAGTAGTTAAAATTTTCAATTACCTATGTTGGGATACAAACTCAATTATGATCAAAGTCATATCCCAAGTCTTAACTCTAAAAAATCACGCCAAACACAAACCTGTTGCAGCTTGTAAACTTTGATTAAATAAAGAAGAGCAAAAGGAGAAAGATAAGATATTATTATTGCTAACAAGTCTATAATACTGCTTAACCTAAAATATACAATATAAGCCCATATATAGTAGGGTAATAAAACAATGTAAAATGCCTAAACTACCCAGAATATAAATACTCTAACAACCCCCCTCAAATTCATGATGTGGTAACATCAAACATTAAGATATTGTTAAGAAGAAAACGGAAGAGCGCAATGGTGTGAGATTTCGTAAAGAAACGATCAGCAAGTAGCCAACGCAACCAAACTATCTCTGATGTTATAAAGGTCATAGCATAATACTCAGTTTCAGCAGATGATCGAGTCACAACAATTTGTTTCTTACTTTTTCACGAAATAAGAGAATCACCAAGGACGAAACACAAATCAGTAGTGGACTTGCGATCTATAGAGTCATCAGCTCAGTCCGCATCAGAGTTAGCACGAAGTTCCAAAGACTTTGAAGAAAAAAATAATAAATTCAACAAAAACTCCAAGTGTAGACTTAACAAATTAAGGCCCAAATAGCAATGAGGGGTCCAACAGAAAATCAAAACCCAACAAAATCATCAGCAACAATACCCAACAAAACAAAGCCCGATAAAGAAAAGGAGAAAAATTAAACCAGCAGCCCAACAGAAAGAATGCCAAATCAATAAACCCGAAGAATTGGGGTTGCCCAACAAAAACCACAAGTAACAATGCCTAACAAAACAAAGCCTAACAAAGAAAAGAAGAAAAGTCAAACCAGCAGCCCAACAGAGAGAAGCTCAAATCAGCATTAGCCCAAATCAACAAACCCAAAAGATTGGGGTTGCCCAACAAAAACTACCATCAACAATGCCTAACAAAACAAAGCCCAACAAAGGAAAAAAGAAAAGCCAAACTAGCAGCACAATAAAGAGAAGTCCAAATCAGCATCAACCCAATCAACAAACCCAAAGAGAATACCAGCGAAACCAAGAGCAGAAACTAAAACCAAAAAAAGAAGCCAACTCTAAACAATTCAAAGTTTGCCATAAATTAATTCAACAACTTTGCAAATCAAATATTCATAACAAATTGAGGTTTATTACACAACAATACATCAATATTTTCGGCATTGTTGACCGAGTGAACAATATTTTTGGCACTGTTCACAGCTCATAGAACCACAAAAAGTTAACAACCCACCAATCACTAGTCCTCAAGTTATACAACTCAGCACCAAGAACCTTTAGTCGTACTACTTAGGCTTGATATGAAGTAAAGAAGTCGAAGAAAATAGCAAAAAAATAAATCACTATAGATGATGTTAGGCCTAATCCAAGAATATATTTTTTCTCCAACTAAATTATTGTGGTGCTACAATATATTTTGGATCGAAACCATATTTTGATACCATGTAAATTTTGATCAAATATAGAAAAGCGAAAGGAGAAAGAGAAATTATTATTACTAAACAAGTCTGTAATACTACTTAACCTAGAATACACAATATAGACCCTTATATAGTGGGGCAACAAAACAATGTAAAATGCCTAAATTACCTAGAATATAAATACTCTAATCCACCCAGAAAGAAGCAAACAAATAATAAGAAGAATAAAATATATTCCCAAAAAACGGTGTTGCATCAATAGTAGCAATGGCATAACAACTTGGTAGTAGTTCAATATTTCTTTAACTCCTGCCGGTCATTGAATAAATATAAGTTTTAGCAAATATCAAAAAACTTCAATAACATGAGTTATGTATTTTAATTTTGTTATATATGTGCTTTTGATGTCAACGTATAAAAAAGTGGCACCAACACGTTGCTCATAGCTTCGCTGGAAAAAATTAACACGGAGGGCCCCAAACATGTAATCTGGTAATGTCGTTACTTTTGAGTTTGACACCTTTCTAATTTCTTTTTTTTTTTCAGAAAGTAAAATGTATTAAAAGAAAATAGATATACAAGGGTAGTCACCCACGAAATTTACAGTGAAGTCGCGTAGGACTCAAAGACCAAAAATCAAGGCTAAAACACAAGTCTGAAAAAGATGCTCTGATTAAGAGTTTCTCCCACAGAATTGTAGGCAAAGTATACATTGGTAGACAAAAACAAACAAAAAGACTGTTAAAATCTAAAACAACAACAAAATCTAGATTAGCACCAGTTCAGCACCTGTGTACGTGCCAGTTGGAGTGAGAGACCAGGCAAAGATATCCCAAAAAGCACCAGACAAGTGTTGGTTTATNACACAAGAGGGACCAAATAGAAGTAAGGAAGAGCTACCAACGAAAACCAAAGATCATCAAGAAATGTAAAGAAGATAGGCCAGGGAAAGTAATCCCAAGCCTTCCCATGAAATTGCTACTTCTGATACAACAGCTCTGCCTTGAAGGTCCACCACAGGAACTAGAGAACACCCAGCAAAAAGTAGATCCATAATCCACAATTCTATCCCAGTAAAATGCCACAATGAAATTTACTTTCCTGAAGCATTTTGTAAACATTGAATGTATGAATCCACATTGAATATAAGGATAAACAACCATCTTCAAGTCTTCAAATACAAAAAAGAACACCATTTCTAGTCAATATCCCTCATCACCACCCATAAAAAATCAGCCTTGATCAAGAATTGGCATGGGCAACACAACCCTCCTTACCTAGGCAAGCCAATATGNTTGTTTCTTATTGCTTTATATTCTTGATTTGTTCTTCAATTGTGTGTGTTTGTTAGTGGATTTAAATTGTGAGAA